TCAATCTACTGTGCCTTAAGCACTTTCTTCATGCATCTACCTAACTTTGGCATCCACAGAGAAAGGTAGTCTTGTCTCATCAATGGTACTTTGGTCTTCTAAGCATTGATTATGACATCATTTGTCATGATGTCTTACATAGAATCAGCATTAAGCAGACATTCTTATCAGGTAGAAGGAAGGACAATGGTGAGGGCCTTGATCTCTGAGAGTAAGAGGTCATTTTTCAATACTAATGTACTTTCCTTCTTTAAGAGCTTTGGAAATTTTGGACATTGGAGGTCTTGCAAACCCTTGCTCTTCTTGCCTGACGCTCATAGTAGTGTCTCATTTAAGGAGTGCTAATGAGTGATACCATGAAATTCCATATGCCGTAAGTGGTCAGTAAATGTGCGAAAAATAACAACAACAACAATAATAAACCTCTTATTTCAGATTGATCTTTTGGGGTTCATTCAACTTTATTGCACATTGATGTAAACTGAAAGAAACACACAATGTTAAATCACATTGCACCTACAGTCACCTTAACTTAGAAGAAAACTGAGCAATGTCAGTAACAGGGCAGGGAGCATCTTAGTCTCTGTGTGTCCCATTCCTCAGCACCTAAGACCATGTAGCGTTGCCAGTTGTCAGCACCGTCCCTGTGCCCACCCCACATCGCCCAGGGCCCATTGGAGCATCTCCCCTGCCAGCATTGGTACACATGTCCCGGACAGTGATGAGACTTCCTTCTGATTTGTTTTTTCCTGCAAATTACTACTTTCCAAATGTCATCTGATGCTCATGGTAGGACACACCCTGACCTGGCTGGAGAAACCCCTGGAGGATTGTCCCAGTTCTTCCTCTCATTTGGTAGTCACAAGCAGGCCCATCATTGTCACCTGGCTTTGGAATGTCGGTGTAACAAGTCTCATGGCTTTGTCCAACAGTGTACTGACTGTCAGTGGCATTTGACTGTAGTTTCATTCAGCCTGTCTCTGTGACGTCCATTCACACAGAACTGATTCAGCTTCTTTTCCTCCTCAGAGGGCGTTCTAGTCAGAATGGATGCACTGGCCTTCAGTATGATGTGTTCTCAAAGAACCAAAGTTTTCTATTTTTAGTACATTTTCAAAGTGCTGAGTTCCTGAGTCTTTAAACTACACTTTCCACCAAAAGAAACTAGGATTTTTTAGGGAACATAGGGAACAAAATGGCTTTTTTATGGCATGGGCAGATAAAATATAAGTTGAGGTCAAACCAATGTGCCCTATCAGAAGAGGGTGCTGAAAGTAAGAAAGAAAATGATGGGAGCACAGCTGCACTGTGAGGGAAACCTTCTGAAGGGTCTCCTGCTGGGCAAAGCTGGAGCAGTTTTATCATCAAGATAATAATGTTAGGGGTAAATATCATCATGGATCGAATAAAGTGAAAACCAAAGCAAGTCCGTGTGCACACACGCATAAATGGTAAAACCTGGACAAGGGAGAGTTATTCCTTGTATGAGACTCTCTCTCATGAACACAGGAAAAAGAGTTAGATTGTCATTAATGGACAGCCAAGCTAGTGGAGAAAGGCAAGGAAATGGGTAGGAATGTTGTTTTACACTATCTCCCTACAAAGATCTGTTCATTTCCAAAGGAAGATGAAAAAGCTTTATAGTGGAGAAGGTTAGTCACATGTCACCCTTGTGAGATAATTGAGATAAACAGTCCTAGTATTAGGATAAACCCATTCAATATTCACATTTACAGTCAATAAAGATAGTAGTCTTGTGTGGCAGCTTTCACAGAATGAGAAACTGTGAGAAGACAAACCTCAATTTTATGTATAATTGTTGTTGGGGCATTGCCTTCTCACAGTCAAGAAAACCAAGGAGTTATTCCCGATGGCACTGGGAACAGACAGGACACACATGGTAACTGAGGGCAGAGTTGAACTCTGGATTGCATCCTTTTACCCAGAACTGTAAGATGATCTGTAATGGACTTTTATTGGGCACTTAGTAGATTTGAAAGTGAAGCGAGAATTGGATAATAGGATCACATAAATGTGAAATTTCCTTATTGCAACAATTACGCAGTGGTCAAGTAAGAGGGTATTCTTATTCTTAGAAATTACACACTTAAATATTCAGTAGATAGATCGAGTTATCTCTCTCTTACTCCCTCGTGATTGTGGGAAAGATAAGGTGTGGTAGTAGGGGCATGTCCACAGAGACAGTGCAAGGGCCAATGGGACAAAATGTAAGTTATTGGTGAAACTGGGTAAGGATATGACATGTTAGTAGACATCTCTGTCACTGTACTTTCCAGGTTCTTCCCCAGCTTATTTGCAGCATGTGTCTTTGGCAGGAATTACTATAGCAAATATCCCTCCCACTTATGAAAACACCCCTCACATGTATGCAGAGTCTATGATGGGTGTTGCCTCTTGTTATTGTTTTTTTGTTTGTTTCAGTTAAGATCTTCTATGTATCTACCTGCCTCAGCCACACAAAGAATAAGATTACAGGCATGCATCACCACCCATGGTTTGGGTGTGGCTTTTGAATATTAATGCAGACACCTTACAGGCTACTGGAGAGTCTTGGGGATCTGACATTGGAATGATAAATGACTAGAAAGCAAAATTAAGTCAGAGGGACCCAGTTTATACCAAAATCAGGGTCATGAAGACTGAATTAACCAAAAACATTTGCTAGAGATGTCTTTGCAAACGTAATTTCCAGTCTCTTCCCTGATTTATTTCTCTTCAACAAGTTGCTAGAGTCCAGTTAATCCAGGGAAACTTTATGCCTATATTTACTTTCTTATCTTTAGATACCTTCAAATGTTAACATAATTCAGTAAGCTGCAACTTGAAAGCAATAGCAAGGGAAATTGGTATTTTCAACCTTCACTAGTGGTCTCTTTATGAGACGTTTTATTATCCAGGTGGGTGGAGCCTTGACTCAAGTATATTTTCCAAAAATGCATTTTCTTCCCGAGCTATAAATGAAAGTACCCTTGAAGAGGTCTCAGTGTGTTTTGTATTCTAAGCTATTCAGGTGGTGCATTAAACAGTACTAGCCCTGTTCATGGCCTAAAGTATAAGAAAGCCTCTGGAACCTACTTACTTTGAGAGTCTGAATTTTAAAAGGAAACAGAAGGGTAATTTTCTGACTACACTCGTGTGGAGATTTTTTTCTTCTTCTTGGTTTAGTGTCATTGAATCTGAAGCGACTGACCCAGTGTTAACTGGTTTGAGTCTGTGCCTTGAGTAGTAGGTTTTTGTTACTGTAAATTCATGATGTTCAAAGTTGTCTAAACCACCATCCTTGGTAAGAACTCAAGGCTTTAAGAAAACGAATTTGCTTTAAAAGAGAAAGTCTTTTCCAAAAAAGTCTCTTCCTCCTATGGATTCCTGAATGTCCCTAGAAAGTGATTTGACATGAATTGTCACCTTTTTTGGTAGTGCCTCTGTTCATTTTGTCATGAAGATTCTATTCACCTTTGGCCTGTACTGAATCACTGTGACTTTGCTTTGTCTGCTGGGAATTTATTGTTCGATATCAACTTTCCAAGCTCGCAGCTGGGATGTGATTATCATTTCCATTACAAACCATGTCAGCACGCCTTTTAAGAGCTGGGGATAGAGCAGAGGTGCAGAAAGATGCAATCTGTCGTAGGAGATCTGAGCTTTTGAAGGAGCAGGTTGTCCGTGGAGACTCAGTCCAGTGCATTCTCATTATGACTGCGGTTTTAGTTTTTAAATTTTTATTTATGTGTCTGAGTGTTCTGCCTGCCTGTATATCTGTGTAAAGCATGTGTGCCTGGGTGTCTGAGGCCAGAAGAGGCTGTGAGATCCAGAGTTTCAGGTGGTTGTGTGCCGCCATGTGGATCCTGGGAATCAAACCCGATTGCCCTAGAAGAGCAGCCAGTGCTCTTGACTGCTGAGCCGTCTCTGCAGCCCTCTTCACTAGGACGTCAAGAAGCCTGCTGGTGTGAGCGCGTGGTGGTGCTGGATGGAGTGCTGCTGGTAGCTAAGCAGGGTGCAGCAATACTGTACTCATGTCTTTTATCCTTGCAATCACCCTGCCAAGGAGAAACACTTGACTGGATATGTGAGGAAGCTGCCGTGGAGAACATCACCTTCCTGAGGGTCTCCTAGACAGGGAGGCGGGATGCTGGAATAAGAGGATACACAGGCTCCGGGTGCTCTGTCATCCATTTTTGTGTTCAGTCTTTTTAAATGGTGCTCTGAAGTAGTCAACTGTGCAGCGACTTTGAGTTGATGCATCTGGGTTTTGCTTTTTAAATAAGAGACAAGCTACAAGAGAAGGTGCTTACATTCGGGGTGGGGTGCCTGGAGTTCAGGCTTCCTCAGTTGTCCAGCCTGAAGCAACTTGATGGGCATGTCCTGAAGCACCATTTCCTCGCCTTTACTCCCCTCTTTATAGAGCTTTTGACGTACATTCAATGATGTAATGTGCGAAATAGCTTTTAGGCACACTGTAAACTATTGGTTTTTGTTTGTTTGGTTGGGTTTTTGTTTTGTTTTGTTTTGTTTTGTTTTACCATTATCCTCCTTTCTTTGTAAAATCTCTGACGTACACCATTCAGGTATTTCCCATAATCTTCCAAGATCGAGCTTAAGTCCTTTGTATTCATGTCTAAGTCATGTATCATGTATTGCTAATTTAGCACTTGGGCTACCTCTCACAGGTTTAGTTTTCTACTTGAATGTGCTGAACTATGTTCAAGCTTTGCATCATGGGAAGGCTTCGTCATGAACTGGGTAATCACCATAAGAATGGACCAGTGGCCATGTGTATTCTGGGCAGCACGAATGTCATGTGGGAAGCTGTGTTGTGTTCTGAAGTATGGGCTGTCATGTTATGTGGGATGTGCTCCCACAGGCTGTAGCTGAGGAAAGCTATGGATACAAGAATAAATGGGCCATGGGCCATTGTAGTAGACTCTACTTTTCCAGAGGTTTGAATTTTTTCCTAATACAATTTTTTAACTATCTTACAGATGCAGATTTTCTTTTACAATCCAGATGACTTTGACAGCTTTCAAACAGCAATTTCTGAGAACAGAATAATTGGAGCCATGGCCATATTTTTTCAAGTAAGTTAACGGTGGCTGAAATGCTTCAACCAGAGAATTCTTTGTATTCTCCCCTTAATTTGCTGAATTGTTCCATGTTTAATGAATGCATCTGTTTTCTAGTTCACACCTGTCTAAATGAAAGATATTTCATATTGTCTAATGTGTGATTTAAAATGTAAATAAGTATGTTTAGAAACATAATGAAAATTTTTGCATGAATTATTCTGATTTTGTTGCTACTTGACTGGTGTGCAGATTGAAGAACACATCTATCATCTAACTTTCTTTGTGGCTGAAGCGTTTTGAACAGGTTCCTTCAGAATATTAAGAGGCAGATGAAAATGAGGTGGTTTTCTTTCAAGCAACTTTGAAATTTTACATTACCTGAAGAAACATTAATAAACAGCATCAGCCACTTGCTGGGAAAGACCCTTTCTCTCCATCCCACGTCCCCATGGCAACTCGTCTTTCTTGAGATGCTTTCCAAACCAGTTCATGTACAAGTCACATTCTCTATCTCTTGTTTTGTTTCATTTCAGATAGAAACTTACATTATAATCCAGACTAGTCTGGAACTCACAGTAATCCTCCTGCCTTAACTTCCCTGTGCTGGGGCTGCAGGAGTGAATCACTGTACTCAGCTCTTTCTCTTTTCATTATATTTATACTGATTAGTGCTCAGAGCTCCTGTATCAAGTTTTAATGTAAAGTAGAAACCTTTCATCCTGCTTCAGATAATGGCTCTCAGGTTCTCTCCCCCAAACCCCCCTCGTGTGTGTGTGTGTGTGTGTGTGTACATATGTGTGCATATGCTTATACTCATATGTGGGTGTTGATATAGCAAGTGTTTGCGGTCAGAGGCAACTTTAGGTGTCCTTCCTCAGGCACCTTCCACTTTTTGTTTGAGACAGACTCTCATTGGCCTGGAACTTTGTCAAACAGAACAGGCTGTCTGGATAGCGCATTCCAGGAATCCTCCTGTTTTCCATCATTCTCAGCTTTCTATGTGGGTATCAAACCCAGTTCCTCATGCTTACAAGACAGACTGTACCAGCTGAGCCATCTCCCTAGTCCATTCTCAGGACATTTAAGAAGTCCATTCGTAGTAAGGTTGTGTGTTTTTAGGACAAATGGTGCTTGTTTAGTGTGGAAGGCTACCTGAGCAGCACATATGTGGTTTGCCTTTCGGTCTTCAAATTGTCTAAACCTACAACATGCGAGTGTTCCTTTTCTCCAGAGGTCAGTGCTGGCTGCTTCCTTGGCAACTCAAAGGGGCAGATAATATCCTGACCCTCTCCAGCACAGGCCTGCCACATCTGTCTCTGAGTAGGACCCTGTCCATCATAGCTCTGCCACTTCCGTCTCTAAGCAGGCTGCTTTGCCATAGAGAAACATTCTTGTTGGGAGGAAGATCAATCCATCTCCCTTTCTTTCCCCCTCTTTACTCTCTCTCTCCCTTTTCCCCAAATAACACGTCAGTAGGAGATATGTACAAATCTTAGAAGCTAATGTTCTTCCTGATGTCAAAACCGTTGGCCATGGACCACAGTGTTCTTTTAGAGCACTGTTTTATTTTTAATGATGTGCCTGTGTGCACGAGCATGTGTGGGGACACCTGTAGAAGTAAGAAGAAAGTGATCCTTAGGAGCTGGAATCACAGTCGTGATCTGTTGGGTGTAGATGCTGGAAATGGAACTTACGTACTCTGCAAGAACAGAAATCAGTTTTAATCACTGATTCTCTCCCTTGTCCCTCGCACTAGTTTTAAAATGTAGGGTACAGTTTCACTGGGTCACGAAACTAGTTCTGGCAGCATTTTAAATATAACAATAACAGAATAATCTAAAATAGAAAAGCAACCATTAAAAATATTGGTATGTATCATACATACTGACTTTTTCTTAGTACTTATTTATAAAAACATAACCTAGATGCATGCTGGGTTCAGCTACAAAGAATATAGTTTACCATTGGTCACGGCCAAGTACTGTGAAGTTTGTGTTTATGCCGCGTGTTGTTATTCCCTCCCTATTGATCCTCGGTGCCTCTTTTTCCTCATCATATTCATTCACCACAGGAGAACATTTTCAAAAGTAGAGCTTTTTCACTAGAGTAAAAGATACTTGTTTTCGAGTCCCACCTCTGCCCAACACTTTCTATTAGTGCTGGAGTTAGCCTTCCTAGCCAAGGCACTCTTGTCTGTGAAGGGAGTTAATAACATAAGGAGAAGCTGAGATGGAGGCCGCTGAGCCATTTGGTTGGCTTCTGATGGCACTCGGTGGCACTGGATGAATGGTGAACACTACATATATAACCCTGTGGGGTTTCATGGCGGGAGAGCCCATGATATCCACTGTCTTCCTCATGAGCAGATGGATCTTCTGGTTGTGTTCTCTGAGAAGCTCCTGGGCTCTGTCTGCACTCCTCCCTGCTCCTGAAGAGTGACAGGATTGCCCTGGACAACCCTGACGTCTCACTGGGAAGCAGTCTCCACCTGGCTGTTAACCCACTGCTTTCTGACCTTGCCTTCTAGCATGCTCTTTTTAGGGAGCTGGCAGTTGCTTCCCACCTTCCTTCTTAGCCAGCGTGAGCAGCGAGGTCCTGTTTTGTAGGGTGCTTTTTTTTTTTTTTTTAAATAGGAAAGAATATTTTGTAAAATGTTTTGAGTGTTGCAAAGATGTATGCCTCACCAAGATGTTTGAATTATTTTTCTTTTCATTTTGATTCTTCGACAAACGCTTGTTAAATATAGGACCAATTAGAGTCTTGAGTAGGCAAAGCACCAAAATACTTAACTATGCAATTTAGGTTTTGAGTTTTTGAAATGTTTCTAGGACATAGCTCCTACTTCATGTATGAAGAAGTTGGATGTGTACTTCATTAGATTTTACTTTTCTAAGTTGTGGCTTGCTGTCCTACAGACAAAAAAAAAAAAACATAGGGCAGATAGTGAAAGGAGCAGAATTGTGTTGGCCACATCTGTGCTGAGCTGCCTGCTGTACCAGGCCACCTGTGTGTTGATACATTGGCGTGTACTTTGTGTCTGCAATAGAAGGCAAAGGAGCAGTGCTATTTTTTTCAGTCTGGTTAGAGTTTCTGCTTTGAACCTCCTTCTAAGAAGGAGTTTGAGGGATGGCAAGAAGGCACAGTAGTGGAGAACAGGAACAGACCACCTGTGCAAGAGAACCTGAGTTCAGCTCCCATATCAGGTGGTTTACACCTGCCTGTAACTCTAGCTCCAGGGTATCTGACGACCTCCTCTGGCCTTTGTGGGGCACTTCACCCAGCTGCACACACTCACACACAACTTAACCATAACTTAAGAAAAAAAAAAAAAGAAAGAAAATCCTTTAAAAAAAGAATAATAATGTGAACATTTGTCATTTGTGTAAAATATAGAGAGGTCTTAAGCTGGTGATGGCTCTCAGTGGGCAAAGGCGTTTGCTGTGCAAGGTTGATGGCCTGAGTTTCATCGAGAACCCACGTGAAAATGTAAGCTGGCTGTTCTCTGACATTCCCAGCATGCATGACACACGTGTGTCTGGATATCTTCCTGCATACACGCCTTGCTCTCTCTGACTCTCTGCCCTGCTCCTCATGGCCAGGTACAGTGGACTGGTCATGCTCTGTTTACTCCTTTCTCTCCTGGCTCTGGATGCCTGTAGATGCCCCTAGCCGCACCCTCTCTTGTATCTACAATAAAAACCTTCTTTTTAACCATACCATGGAGCAAACGTGTCATCAGTTTGTTCATAGATGTTAGTCCTCCCGTTGACTCACTCTACACACAGGTGTGTTCTGGGAAATTCTGCTGCTTTCTCTGCCTTTGCTACGGCTAGACCTGTAAGCTTCATAATGCTGCCAGAGTGATCAGCACAAGCCCAGCGGGTAGACTGAAGAAATCTTGATTTGGTTTACATTTAGTTTCATGTACCTGGCTTTGTTATAGATCATAGACATGGTTTTCTGGGATTGTAAAATTTTTAATTTTTTTTCCTAAGGTTTTACCTAAACTATCTTGATACTCTAGCAGTCCTCAAGATGAGGAGTGTGTGACTGTCGGCCTGGGAGGGGTGTGCCTTCCCATTGTAACACAGTGTACTTTCCATGCACATGCTTCCATCTGCTCGTGTCCCTGTGCTCCAGTGCCTCTATGCTGGGCATGGACTGCAGAAACGTTGGCAGCTGGCAGTTTTTGGTAACAGGTCAACTTGAGAGCCAGTCTTAGTATTAAACGGTGGCAAGGCGGGCCTTCTGCAAGTGTCTCCTTGAGCCCGGACGACCGGCAGAAGAACCACTTCCGGGGCAGTAAATAGAGAGCTGCATCCGCCACAGGTGACTGCAGTGCTGGCCCACGGGGCAGCGAGTCACTCGCTGTGTAGTTGCTGGTATTCTGGCAGGAGCGTGTTCAGATTGCACCACATCTTCTCTCACAGGGATCACCTTTGGGCCCCCAGCCCTTGGGAGAAACAAACAAAAAAACAAACAAACAAACAAACAAAAAAAACCATAAGTAAGAGTGAAGTTTCATTTTAAAAGACTTTCTTTAAGAAAGAACTTGAAATAAACAATTTGCAAAGGATAAACTAAATGTTGTTAAACCATTACAGAGAATAAATAATTAGTGTAAGTACAAAAATTAAAATAATTATCTTGTTTTTTAGAGTAGAACTTTGAATATTCTCTATTGTTAACCTTGTTTGAATGCTGATAAAAATGTGAAATGCTCTGAGAATTATTAAAGTACTCTTTTAAGCCATTCTTTTATTGTAATGCTTCCATGGGTTCTCTGGTTAAACAAGTAAGGATATACTCATGCTTGCATGAGCTGGAATCAGGAGAATAATTGGGCAATTTGTGGAATGATATTTTGCTTTTAAAATAATGCACTAAAAGATATAATTGGCTTCTCCTGAAGTTCTGAGAGGAGAGTTATCTGGCATTCAGGATAACCATGCTTTGTGTACAGTTGTATTTCTGATCAAACCTCTTAAGTTAGGTTCACCTTTTGCTTCTCA